TATACTAATATCAGACAAAAGTAACTTTTAATCAAAACAGTTTGCAAGACACAAAAAAAGATGCTACATATTAATAAAAGACTTAATACAGCAAGAATAATGTATATAAACACTTAAGCATCTAATGACAGATCATGAAAATTTATGAAGCAAAAATTGACAGAGTAATAATAGGAGGGCCTCCCCTGGTGGCGCAGCGGTTGAGCACTGGGCTGCGAAGCTGCCCGCAACCTCTGCAGTACCAGTTCAATCCCTGGCCGGAGGCGAGGATCCCACATGGCACAGCAGACCTCTCCTGCCGAGCTCGCTGCTCCCCTCAGCAGTGTATTTCATCAGTCTGCCTGTTCTGTTCCCTGCTCTGGCTCTGGTGAATTCTCTCATCCTCCCACACTTCTGACTGTACCCAGTGCTTGTATAAATAAATAAATAAATAAATCATTAAAAAAAAATTTATGAAAAAAAATAATAGGAGAGGTCCTCCCTGGTGGCACAAGGGGTTAAGCACAGCACTGAAGCTATCCACAGCCTCTGCAGCATGAGTTCCACGCCTGGCCAGGGAGCTACCCACATGGTGCAGCAGACCTCTCCTGACTCACCCGCCGCTCCCCTCAGCAGTGTATTTCAGTCAATTTCCCTGTTCTGCTCCCCATTTATTTAAAGATTTAAATACATCTTTAAAGATTTATTTATGTATGCATACAAGAACTGGGGTACAGGCCAGAGGTGCAGGGGGTGAGAAGATTCACCAGAGACAGAGTGGGGAACAGAACAGGCAGATTGACTGAAATACACTGCTGAGGGGAGCAGCGAGCGTGTCAGGAGAGGTCTGCTGCACTAGTAGGTAGCTCCCTGGCCGGGGATCAAACTCGTGCTGCAGTGGCCGTGGACAGCTTCATAGTTTGCTCCTTAACCTCTTGAGCCACCAGGGAGGCCCCAATAAACAAATCTTTTAAAAAATAATAATAATAATAGGAGAGTTCAATTTCCCACCCTCAATAATAGATAGGATACCCAGCACCCCCCCCCCAAAAAAGAAAATAAAGGGCTTGAATACCACAATAAAACAACTAGACCTAACAAACACAGAACAAGAGTGTTCTTGTTCTGCAACAAATTACACATTCTCCTCAAATACACATAGGATGTTCCATACAATAAAGGCTTAGTCTTGATATTTTGAAAAGTAGATATTATATGATGCATCATTTCTGACCACAACAGAATGAAGTTAGAAAGCAATAATAGGAAATGGTAAATTGACAAATTTGTGGAAATTATATATCACATTCTTAACAAGTGGGTCAAAGAATTGATAAGGGAAATTAGAAAACAGAGATGATTGAACATACCAAAACTTGTGGGATGCAGTGAAAGCAATGCTAACAGGAAATTTCATTTTTTTCTGAGATTTATTTTTATTTATTTACACAAGAACTGGGGTACAGGCCAGAGGCGTGGGAGGATGAGAGAATTCACCAGAGACAGAGCGGGAAGCAGGACAGGCAGACAGACCAAAGACACTGCTGAGGGGAGCAGTGGGCAAGGCAGCAGAGATCTGCCGTGCCATGTGGGTGTCTCCCTGGCTGGCCGAGAATCTGCACAGCGTGGCACTCAAACCACTGCGCCACCAGAGAGGCCCTCTAACAGGAAATTTTATAGCTATATGTACTTCATTAAAAAAATAGAAATATCTCAAATCAGCATCCCAACTATACAACTTACAGAAAAGAAGAACTAAACCAAAGTTAGCAGGAAGACAGAAATAAAAAGGATTATAAAGGGGACAAAGAAAAATAGGGGATTAAAAAAAAGAAAAAATTTGGGCCTCCCCGGTGGCGCAGCGGTTGAGCGCTGGGTTGCGAAGCTGACTGCAGCCTCTGCAGTGCCGGTTCGATCCCCAGCTGCTCCCTGGCCACTGGAGGAGGGTCCCACATGGCGCGCAGACCTCTCCTGCCGCCCGCTGCTCCCCTCAGCAGTGTACTTCGGTCCTTCTGCCTGCTCTGCTCCCCGCTCTGGTTCTGGTGAATTCTCTCACCCTCCCGCGCTTCTGACTGTACCCAGTGCTTGTATAAATCAATCAATGAATCAATCAATCTTGTATAAATAAATAAATCTTTAAAAAAAAAAAAGAAAAAATTAAATGAAACCATTGGTTATTTGAAAAGATTAACAGATTGGACAAAACTAGCTAGACTGAATAAGAGAGAGATCTCCAATGACTAAAATCAGAAATGAAAGTGGAGGCATTATTACTGAGTCTAAAGAAACAGAGTTTCTGAGGCAAAGGCCATATTAGAGAACAGAGACAAGGATGCCCATCCCAGGCTGAAGGTTAAGACAGATTTTCTGGGCTGCGCCCAGGCAAGAAATCTTCCACAATCAAAGGTTGCCAAATTTAGCAATAAGAAGCAGAACATCCATCTAGATTTGAATTTCAGATAAACAACATTTTTTTAATTTATCACAAGTGTTGCATGGGATACACTTATGCTAAACAGTTACTCATTATTTATCTGAAATTTAAAACTACTCCAAGTGCAGTACTTTTGCTAACCATTCTGTCATTGCACCTCACAGATGGAGATGGGTTCAGAGAAAAGAAGTGATAGGTTGTACACAGCTCTCTCACCTCAGGAACCCTCTGAGCACAGTAGCCCCCACACCACTTAACTAGGTGGCATTGGCCTGGTTATTTGCCCTCTCTTAGCCGGCTTTCCAGTCTGTAAAATGGGGGTGGGGTGTGGCATTGGCCTCCCTAAAAGGTAGTTGGAAATGTGGCCATCTCAGGCCCTGCCCTCAAACTGCCGAATGAGACCTGCACATTAAAGCTATATGGAATCACCACACAAGGCACTGAGGTCGCCGCATAGAGTTGGGCATGTGGGGGCTCTCAAGCCTCAATGATACACCTCCAATCCCAGCCTCAGAACATTTGGAGGAGGTATTTTTTTTACCTTCACTTAAGACTCCAAAGGAAGCCAAGAAAATCATGGAGGCTCCCTGGAGGCCACGTTAGCTGGACAGCAAAGGCAGTTCTAGTGGCTGTTCTGAAGATTCCCTGATGTGCTCATTCTCTAGCTCAGCCTAGCCTACTACTCAGTGGGTTTGTGGATGAAGACAGAAGTCTAGAAATGTACCTGGCACACATCAGATGAGCTGGACTGGGCACCTTCCCCAGTGAATGACCATGTCTTCCTTTTTCATGCAAAAAAAGCTGATAAACAAGAGGAGTGATACACAGCCCCTTCCTCAAGGGGGATATCCTAATGCTTCTTCCCGGGGGAAAAGAGGATGGCATTTGGTGGTGATATTCCCCTGCACAAAATCGACTCGATCATCATTACCTCCTGGAGACAATGCTCCTAAAGACCAAAGTCCCAAGAACAACTAATTCCCCAAAAGCTGAGTCACTAATCCTCAGCAGATGTGGAGAAAGAATTAACTGGAATAGGAAATGCAATTGAACTGTTTTATGCTCTGGGTCCAGAGGTTTCTAAGCACTCTGTTCACCTCTTTATTATCACCAGCACAACCTAAGCTATCTAATCACAGTGTTCTTCTGCTCAAAAACCTCCCACACCTTTTGAATTTTAACACGACTGTATTAATCTTTTCAAAAAACAAATCAATTTTTCAGCCTCTGCATAATGTGATGACCACTTGGGTTTCTTTTCACCTCACATATGCTGGGTCCCCTCCCTCCCACAGCATTTGCACATTCTGTCCCCTCTCAGGATTGCTGGTCCAGTCCACCCCTCCCCACTCAGGAAGCCAGCTTCTCTTGACCTCTTCTGCTGGGTGAGGCTTGTGTATAATTTGTCACATCCTGGACCTCCCTAAAGGGTGACTGTCTCATGTGCTAGTCAAGAGCACTACCCACATTGCTTCCCGTCTCCAGCCCACCTGGGACTCCCCAACTATTGGCAGTGCAGGCAAATGCCTCTTGGTCCACAGCTTGGGGCACACGGAAGACTTGATTCTGCCTAAAGCTGCTCACATGCTTGGCTTTGTTCACCTCCACTAGACCCCAGTACACAACCTAGAAAAGAGCCAATTTTTGCCTACGCACGGATGTGATTGTGTCAGTCAGGGTGGAAGTGATTCTAGCACTCTGCTGACTTCCCTGCACTGAGTCTGTGCGTCAGTCAGCCTGGAAATTGGCCACACTTATCTGATGCCCAATGAACCTGTTTACAGAAGGCAGACGTTCAGGTTCCATTATGTTCATTAAAAGCCTGTCCAGGCTCTTGTTTGGAGGTGTTTGTTAAGGGCAAAGGTTTCCCTCCAGGATAGAGTCCAACTTCTGAGACCCTGTTTGTTATGTAAATGCCCCAAGCTAAATGGGGGTCATATGACAATTCAGGGTCCCTATACACCTTCCCTCTACAGGTTCAGGGCTTGGGAATACAACTCATCTCTCCACTGCCCCAGCCAATGCAGAGTCCAGTACCAGAGTCTGTCCTAGTAGAGTACATAGCCACGGCTTAGCTCCCAAAGTGTCAAGGATATACCCATCCCTCCAGTGTTGGTGAGAGCAGGCCTGTGCTGCTGTCCACAAACGCTGCCCAGAGGGATGAATTGTTGCAGTTCATGGCGGGGGCACCACTTCAGACCAGACAGCAGCCTGGCCTTAGCTCCTTGCTCACCAGGGACTACAGCCCAGTCAGAAGGCTGGCTGAGCCTTATGCTCTCCAAATCCACCTCCTCTCCACAACAGAAGTGACACCCAACATGCACTGCTTCCAGAGATCCAGTGGGTGCTCACCAAGTGGCTGTCTTTGTGTCTATGCTCAACTTCATGACCTACTTCTCCTTAACACACTTGCACTTGAATAACAGCCAACTGCAGGATTTTTTTTTAATAGAGGCATGTTTTTTATTTATTTGTTTGTTTGTTTTGTTTGTACATGCACTGGGTACAGTCAGAAGCGCGGGAGGGTGAGAGAATTCACCAGAGCCAGAGCGGGGAGCAGAGCAGGCAGAAGGACCGAAGTACACTGCTGAGGGGAGCAGCGGGCGGCAGGAGAGGTCTGCGCGCCATTTGGGACCCTCCTCCGGTGGCCGGGGAGCAGCCGGGGATCGAACCGGCGCTGCAGAGGCAGCGGGCAGCTTCGCAACCCAGCGCTCAACCGCTGTGCCACCAGGGAGGCCCTGCAGGACTTTTTTAATTTGTTTTACTGGCTGCAGATTAGCACCACTCTCTGATAATCCCCAAATACTGTCCCCTTAACACAGTTGGCTCCCTGGCAATACTTGGAAATTAGCAAAAGAAGGTAATAGAGACTCCAAATCCAAGGTCCTAACAATCTCAAGCCCTATGCCTTACAAATAACCAGAGGTCCAATTCCCAGCAGACCCATTATGCTGACAGCTGCATTTTCTAAAATACTGAGGCTTTCCAGCTTCCTCCCACCTCTGCCTCCTCTCACCCAGTTCTCTTCACCTGGCTAGGGCAGGCCAGGCCAAGTAAGGTCTGATAAACTGGTGACAGTAAGACTGATCAGTAGAGGCAACCAAGAGTACCAAGTGTTGTCAAGACCCCTTCTCTCCTCCAACAGTAACAGAAGTTGGGAAGCCCAGATTACAGGCTGGGACCCTCTTATTTGAGGCCCAGCAGCTGAGCAAGGAACAAAGGCATAATGTGTGTACATCAGCCCATCATGTGCCTTAAAACATGCATAGGTGGGGCCTCCCTAGTGGCGCAGAGGTTAAGACGCAAACTGTGGAGCAATCCACAGCCACTGCAGCATGAGTTCAATTCCCGGCAGGCCAGGGAGAAACCCACATGGTGGGACAGACCTCTCCTGTCTCACTCACTGCTCCCCTCAGCACCGTACTTTGGTCCGTCTGCCTGTTCTGTTCCCTGCTCTGCCTCTGGTGAATCCTCTCACCCCCCCCAATATCTCTGGCCGGTACCCCAATTTTTGTATAAAAATAAATAAATCTTATTAAAAAAAAAACATGCATAGGTATGCTGACAGGAACAATTCTGGAAATGGCCCTAGCTGGCTGCCCCTGAAAAGCCAAGAGGCTAAACTTACAGCGGGCTGTATTTGGAGGGAGAGGTGTAGGCAGTAAGGTACATTTTCCCTACAGGCTGAACACTGTTTCTAAACCACAGGGGAGGGAGGCCAGACTGGTTAGTCAGCCAGCCTGATCTGACAGTAGAGCCATTGGAGTGACTATGGGCTCAGCCAGACAATGGTGGAAAGTGGGTGTTTCCCAGGGTCCAAAGGCCCCATGATGTGGCATAGCTGATGTCTGCCAGCCAAGGAGGCACTACACGCAGCAGGCAAAGCCTGTCCCTGCCCCCTGGAAGCTGTTTCCAAATTCCCAAGATACTGGTGACAGCAACTTCCTATATGCGGGAAGCACAAAGCAGGGCACCTGGAATCTTTATTCTGTTGTTAAGGGACAAAATGGCAGCGTGTAGAGGCATAAATATGGAGGATCACAGCTCTGCCTGTCGCAAAAGCAATCCAGTCAGCGTAGGAATACAGCTCCAGGAGTGAGAATCCTGCTTCACACTCTGTACGCACAGCCCTGGGGAAGGTCTGGGAACACAGCTGAGGCTGCCCAGATGGCCTCAGGAAGGATTCCCCAGGGCTCTGGGTTTCTCTCCTCTGGGCTTGAAACTACGCAGTGGGTTCTGGGTCTTCATCTTCTATAAGAGCAAAATCTCAAATTAGTTCGAGGAACTGGATATCTATCTGCCCAAACTGAAATAGCTACAGGAATTGGGTGGTGTTACTTGGTAAAGTCCTACTGAGGTTATCATATAGGGCAGCCCTCCAAGCCCCCATCTTCTTCCCAGCCCACAGCAATGGGGAAAAAAGCAGGTCCTCTTTTGCTCTCAAAGTCATCTGTGAGCACAAAAGGAGCTTGGACAACTCTAGCTTGGACAAGCAGCCAAGAGTTCGGAGGCCAGTTCCAAGGGCCTCTCTCGTCCCTCCCAAGGGCAAGGTGCATGCACATTCCCAGTGCATGCACATTCCTTGTTCCTTCCAGGGACAAGGTGGAAGGGGATCCTTTGGTAGCTGTTGTCAAGACCCCTAGAGGACCCACCTTGGTCTTCTTCGAGGACAGCTTTCTCCGTTTCTTATGAGGGTTGACAAGGCCTCGCAGAGTGGGAGGAACTAGAAAAGACATTTGCTATCAGGAGCAGTGAGTCTCCCAACCCCTTTCCTCATTCTGAGATCCCAGCAAGTGCTCCAGTTCTGACCCCAGTGCCAGCACTCCAGTTCCATATTTAAAGTACTAATAAGCACACAACTATTTATCACAGACACAAAAGACATAGTCCCACAGGTGGGACTATGGGGACTTAGTATAAATCATACTTTTATAGTATTCAAGTTTATTGCCATAAGCATGTAATAGAAGAAAAATATATACATTTTAAAGAGAGATACAGCTAAGGGCCTCCCCGGTGGCGCAGCGGTTGAGCGCTGGGTTGCGAAGCTGCCCGCGGCCTCTGCGGTGCCGGTTCGATCCCCGGCTGCTCCCTGGCCACCGGAGGAGGGTTCCACATGGCGCGCAGACCTCTCCTGCCGCCCGCTGCTCCCCTCAGCAGTGTACCTTGGTCCTTCTGCCTGCTCTGCTCCCTGCTCTGGCTCTGGTGAATTCTCTCACCCTCCCGCGCTTCTGACTGTACCCAGTGCATGTACAAACAAATAAATAAATAAAATACCTCTATTAAAAAAAAAAAAAAAAAAAGAGAGATACAGCTAAAACAGAAAAAGCCTGTGTAATTTCTTCATATGTTGCATACCACTACAAATTTATCTATCAGGTCACACTGGATCCCAACAAGCCTCCAAACGCCCAATGCATGCTTCTACCTCACCCTGACTTCTTGGGACAACCAGCCACAGGTTCTTGGTAGGCAACTTTGCTCCTATTTGACAGAAAAAATGACCCTCCCCCCATATCTGACTCCCTTGCTCCTCTCCCAGGACACCAGGACCCCAGCTGGTGTCCCCGACATTCAGTCACTGGGAAACCTGACCACTCGCTCTGACATTTTTAATTACCCCATCTATTTGGGATCCTTCTCATTTAATTCAAGTGTCTCCCACCATACCCGCTGGATCACTCCCATTCCTCAGAGACATTGCAGAAAGGGGGCCCTCCTCACTCTTTTCCCTTAATCAATTTTAAGCATCTCCAACATGAAAGTCACAGGTGTTCATAAAAGATGCTGCCACCCAGTGGTGTGGCATAAAGGATACATAAAGGGAACATGATACCAGGGAACCTCTCTCAGACTTCAGCCTTATCAGCATCACAGAAACGAGTTGGTTCCATGACTGACTGTTCTCTACCCCCCAAAATCTTCCCTACCCCCGTCCTGTTCTTCCCATAAGGCTCTGGGAGAGTGGCATTCTCTCTCCCTGCCCACTGTTCTAGACTCTAGCCACCCACTGCAGCACCACCTGATTGCTGATTCGTCTCCTCCAGCACAGGTAGCACTGGTTCCCTTGAGCCTCTACCAACCCTATGCCAGCCCACCCTTCCATTCACGGTGGCTGCCTGACCAATTATTGGTTCATTCTTTCACTGGGTCAGGCTCTGGAACAAGACCACCTGGCCTTAAATGCTGCATCTGCCACCAAGTGAGACAATGGCCGTCTCTATGCTGTTTCAGTTTCCTCATCTCCATGAGGAAGATAGCAACACTTAGCCAGTGGGACTCACAGACAAGCTTAAGTGAGGGCTTACATTTCCATTAGTGTGTGAAGCTGAGGAACAAAGACCAGGCTCTTAAGCCCACACTCACCCAGGTAGTCAGGGACATGGCCCAGGTGAGGCTTCACCACCGCGGGGTGCAAGGGCAGGTCATGTCGAAGCAGTTGTAGGTCCCTGGGGTTATCTTCGAAATATGTCTGATAGGGAAAGAGATGCCAGCACTGTAGGGTCAGTCTCTCTTTTGTAACTTCACAAGGGAGCATTTAAATGTGTGTTTTAGAAGGTAAGAGGCAGGAGGTTTTTCTACATCTTTGTCCACAGGCACTTCTAGCCAGAGTCAGCTATTGATGCTGGCTTGCTCCCCTGTGGGTGCCCAGCACAGGTAGCGAGACCGGCTCTGGTTCACTCTCGCCTTTCTGTGAGGCACAGTAGCACACCATACCCTTCCTCATTTCACGTCATCCTGGAGACTGTTCTGCATCACACACAACCTCCGTGTTCCTTTGTCTATCCTCATTCTAAGCGTGTTTAGCACATCTCTACCTTTGGGTAATAATGCTGTGTCAAACTTGGACATGTGTGATTACGTGTATTCACAATTATATCAAGGAAATACAGAAGCTGTAACCCTGCTGGACATCACAACTGTCTACCAGAGACAGCGCCCATTCACCTTCCAAAATAAAAACATGCTGGCTTCCTTCAATTGCTCTTGGCCTGATTCCTTCCCACTTGCTGTCCCTCTCCACTCAACACTCCGTCAATCCTCAAGAAGAGAGAAGCTCTAAAGTTTTCCCCTTGTCCCTCCCCCCTCACCTTGAGCTTCTCTGAGTGCAGAAGTTCCTCTTTGATCTCCTTCAATCTTGCCTCTCGAATGGCTTGTTTAGTCACTGACCGCATGGCATCCTGGAGGTAGACACTGAAAATCAAGAAAGGAGGCTGCCCGAATTCTCCCTTATACCTAGCTAGATGTGCACAGCAAGGGTCCAACCCTGGGGTCCTAGAAGAATTCCCACCAATCCCTGCCCCTGTGTCCTGCTCACCCTGCAGCGATAGCGGAAGCCCTCGATCTCCTCCATGCGGAACTGGTAGGGAAGCAGGATTGGCACCCTGTCCTCTGTGGAGAAGCAGCAAGGAGGGTCTCACAGACTAAGGTTCAAGACAGGGTGTGCTAGAGAACTCCCCTACCTTCCCCCAAGTCCCCCGGACTGATGTCTCACATGTAGCCAAACACTTGATTATCATGGAGTGCTCTCAAGGGGTTCTCCACAATGCCATGGACAATGTATTGTTGTCCTCACGTCCCTGAGCCTCAGGATCTGACCACCTGACTACACTCCTCCCTTAAGGCCACTCTGGCCACAAAGGGACCCCATGACAACCACCACAGGAGGGGGAGAAGCACCAGCACCTCAAGTCAGTAACTGTTCTAAGCACTGTCACTAAGGTTAAGCAGTGTAAAAGATTACCCAATACAACAAATGACAATGTGAGGATAGGTATCCCCACTCCAAATAAGAAAATTAGGACATAGAGGGCCTCCCTGGTGGTGCAACGGGTTAAGACGCAACCTATGAAGCTAGCCGCAGCCACTGCAGCATGAGTTCATCCCTGGCCAGGGAACTATCCACATGGCACAGCAGACCTCTCCTGACTCACCTGCTGCTCCCCTTAGCAGTGTATTTCAGTACATCTGCCTGTTGTGCTCCCCACTGTCTCTGGTTGAATCCTCTCACCCCCAACACCTCTAGCCTGTACCCCAGTTCTTGTATGCATAAATAAATCTTTAAAAAAAAAGAGAGAGAAAGAGAATTAGGGCATAGAGACTTCTCCCATCTCCCCAGTCAGTGGTGTCTCTGGGCCACCTTCTACACAGAATCCAAAGGCTGAAGTGTCCTTATCTGGTCCCCTACCAAGGACAAGAGTCAGGTCCCCTGAAAAATCCCTGTATGAATCCTCTCTCCATAACCACCTAGCACTCCTCCACTGTCCTCTTTTTTTTAAAAAAGGATTTATTTATTTATGCATACAAGAGCTGGGTGCAGGCCACAGGTGCGGGGGCAGGGAGGATTCACCAGAGACAGAGTGGGGAGCAGAACAGGCAGACTGACAGAAATACACTGCTGAGGGGAGCAGCGGGCAAGACAGGAGATGTCTGGTGTGCCATGTGGGCCAGCTTGCCAGCCAGGGATCAAACTTGTGCTGCAGTGGCTATGGATTGCTTCATAGTGCTGAGACCTAATCCCCTGCACCACCAGGGAGGCCCCACTGTCCTCTTCTTAAGCCTAGAATGCTACCATAGCTATACTGCTAGAGTTTGGCTTCACCTCTGGAAGGCACCAGTGCTTTGCTATTCAGTTGGTAAAGCATCCACTCAAGCAGTCCCCTCTTAGGGCCATCTCCTCAGATAGCACCAATCCCTTCCCCATCTCCCATAACCACCCCTTCTCCTTCAACCCTTCTGTTTCCTGAGCCAGATAATATGATTTTAGGTAATTACCTGACACCTCTGGATCCCACTTGCTCATCTGTGAAGGGAAACAGTGGCTACCACCCAGAGCACAAGGATGAAGAGTGGGATGCAGCACATGGTGATGAGAGCAAGTGGGTGGCTATTGGTTATACCAGAGTCCCTGTTGCCATCACCAGCACTAGTTCAAGCTGTCATGACAAAAGCTTGGCCTGGCCTAGGCCAAAGTGAATTAGGCACTTACCTCCACTGAAACCACCAAGAAATTCCTCGATCTTACTCAGGTGGGACTGCTCTGTAGGCAGTACAAAAGTCAGGACTGTGCCTGGGTTGTTGGCACGTGCTGTCCTGCAAGCAGAGACAACCCATCTGTGTCTGTTGCCAGAGTCCTTCAGGGTCCCCTCCCAAGGCCCTGATCCAGATGATTGGCCCACCACACCCCAGCTCTCCTACCTGCCAGCTCGATGTATGTAGGCTTCAGGGGTTGGGGGTAGATCAAAGTTGAGCACGGCACTAACATAATGGAAGTCTATGCCACGGGCCACACCTGCCTCTGGATCAGCAGCCCTGCAGGGAAACACCCTACCATCAGACAGACCCTTTCTCTCCTGCAGGTAGATGTTCTCATGTTTATTTGATCACCAAGAGCTCTAAACAGAGCCTTGTATGAAACCACAAAACTCTGACACATGTAAGATTCTGCAGGGTGAGAACTACTCCAGAGGTTTTGGGTGGTAGGGGAGGCCGGAGCTTTGACACTTGGCCAAACCCTTGCGCCAACCTCAGCTCTGGGGCAAGAGCAGTACTCACTGACCCCCAGGGTCCTCTGAGAAGCGCCCCTGGGTCAACTGGCCTATCAGGCAGAGACTGGGGTCTTCCCTCACCCTAGAAATATCTCTCCACAAGTCACAGTTGCATAACTAGTAGAAGCTGGGTATCTTCCCTCACAGGACAGTGCACTAGATACCTAGAAGCCTCATCCTTCGTGATGCCCATAGAACAAATGAGCCCTTCACTCCCCTTCTCCACACCTAGGCAGCCAAATCAGGGCCTGTGGGGCTCTATGGATTTTGCTGCCAATCTGGCCTGGAATATCTGGTTCCATGCTCAGGCATTCTGGTTTCCATCATCTAAAAGGCTGAAAATCAAGTTTCTCTAGGGAGGGCTGGACAGAAATATAAACTTACTTGTCCTTTTTGGACCCTTTGCCCCTTCGCTTGCCCTTGACAAGGGTGCCCAGGACTTCGGTATCAGTTGCTATGACACAGTCATAGAAGCCTTGATTGAATTGTGAGATGATGTGGCACCTGTGGCACAGAGGCAGAATGGAAAATTAGTTCCAACAAGCAAGTTGGAGGCCCCTTTCCCACCTCACCACCGCAGAAACCATCTTTCGTACTTTTCTCTCTTCTTAAATTATTTCCCTGGGGCCTCCTGGGTGGCATAGGAGTTAAGTCTTAGCACTATCATGGTATCACCACTGTGGCCTGAGTTTGATCTCCAGCCAGGGAGCTCACCACATGGCCCAGTAAATTTCTTCTGTTTTGCCCGCCGTTCCCCTCAGCAGTGTATTTCAGTAAATCTGCCTTTTCTACTTCCCACTCTGTCTCTGGTGAATCCTCTCAACCACACCTCAGTCCTTCTATGCATGCATGCATAAATAAATAAATAAATCTTTTAAAAAAACTATTTCCCTACCTAATCTTCCTGCCTCCATTTCCTCAGGGAGAAATGAAGTAGTAGCTAGTTCAGAGTTAAAAAATGAGTAAGTAAATGAATACCAGTCAAATCCCAAGCCTCCCTCTACTAAATGCTAAGGAACAGAAACAGAAAATGAACCTTCCTTTTGTAATTCCATCTTCTACTTCTCTCAACCAAGACATTGAAGAGGCAAACCTGGAGTGCAGTGGGAGTTCTCCATTGAGCACACAGGTGGGAATACTAAACTGCTCCAGGAACAAACGCAGACGGTAACTCCGCTCCAGAGTGTTGACAAACAGCAAAGACTTGCCCCGAATCAAGGATAACTTGAGCAGGGCATACAACAACAAAAATTTATCTTCTTCCGTATCACAAACAATCTGAAATTGCTGTAACTGGTCTGGTCCTGGAAGTTGGGATTCCTGTAACTTGAGAGTAACCTGGAGGAAGATAGATCTGTGGTCAGAAAAGGAGACGGAAATGCAAGCCACTGGCTTGGCAACCACAGTGGAAACATGATAATGCAAGAAACCCTGGGGTCCTTCCAACGTGTAATGTAAGAATTCAAAGCACTCTAACTACTACAGTATATACAGATGCCGTGAAACCACACATAAATCATTTGGGGCACAGAACAAAGAGGAAACAGGCAATAAATGACTATACTGAGGAGGAAAGTCCTACAGCCACAACCTTTCTAAAATTAACATAAGGTGAGAACCTTGTTCCTACTGCAGAGGCAGCCTTTCTGCCCTTTGAAGAGCAGTCCTTGTTCTGGCCATTGGGAAAAATATGAAACCCTACAGAGAACATCTGGAACAAAGTGGTTACTTTAGATTGGAGCACTGGTGACTAATGGCTTCCACTGGCTCAGAATCTGGGATGCTAAATAACAATCCCCCCACGCCCCTCCCAGAACACCAAAGGGTTCCTTTAGAGAGAGGATCGGGACTCCCCGGTGGCGCAGCGGTTGAGCACTGGGATGTGAAGCTGCCCGTGGCCTCTGCGGCGCCGGTTCAATCCCCGGCTGCTCCCCGGCCACCAGAGGAGGGTCCCACATAGCGCGCAGACCTCTCCTGCTGCCCGCTGCTCCCCTCAGCAGTGTACTTCGGTCCTTCTGCCTGCTCTGCTCCCCGCTCTGGCTCTGGTGAATTCTCTTACCCTCCCGCGCTTCTGACTGTACCCAGTGCATGTATAAACAAAACAAACAAACAAATAAATAAATAAAAACATGCCTCTATAAAAAAAAATAAAAAATAGAGAGAGGATCAACTCCTTTGAGTATCCCATGTCAGCAGCTCCACATCCATAGAGCCCTTACCGGATTATGAAGTACCAGTTCCTTGAGTGCTTGCACATCCTCGTTAAAAGTAGCTGACATCAGAAAAGCCTGGTAAATCCTGGGCAAGTGGCTAAAAGGAAACAGAGCCCCATCAGACTCTAACTCCAAGGATCTCTAATTATGTCAGCTGAACTCTGGCCACCTGGCTCTAGTCCTTAGTCTATTCACAACCCACACATACCTCTTCCTTACCAGAGAAGACTCTTGAGTTCTTCCTCAAAGCCAAAGGAGAAAAGAAGATCAGCCTCATCTACCACCAGCAGCTCCAGGGAGTCTCGCAGTTTCAAATTGTCTTGCTGCAAGTGGTTTAATATGCGAGATGGGGTCCCTACCACCACATCTGGTTTCTCCATCAGCACAGCTCTACAAGTAGAAGCAGCAGTAGTAGGACCTCAACCTGGACCAGCCATCTTTTTAGCTACACAAAAACCCAGTCCCACATTTCTGGGCAGCTTCACTGCCCTGCAGTCTTGCTTTCACCTACCTCTGAGAGGCTGAATCTTCAGCGGCTGAGACATTGGCCACCCGGATGTCTCGAGCACAGTAGGCAGCTAGCTGCTGAATCATGGACTGGGCCTGTCGTGCCAGTTCTTTGGTGGGCACAAGAACAAGACCTCTCACTGCTTGTTCTACCACAGGACCTGTCTGCAAAAACAGGAATTACTTTGTGTCATTGTAGCCCCCTGTTGCTTTTCTCTACTCTTCCAGGCAATCTGACCCCATCTTGTGACTTAAAAAGACATCTACTGAAGGCCTCCCTGGTGGTGCAGGCGTTAAGACGCAACCTATTAAGCTGTTCGCAGCCACTGCAGCACAAGTTGGATCCCCTGCCAGGGAGCTGCCCACATGGCGCAGCAGCCTTCTCCTGACTCGCCCACTGCTTCCCTCAACAGTGTATTTTGGTTAGTCTGCCTATTCTGTTACCCTGCTCTGTCTCTGGTGAACGCTCTCACCCCCTCACCTCTGGCCTGTACCCCAGTTCTCATATGCATAAATAAATAAATCTTAAAAAAAAAAAAAAGACATCTACTGAAAGGGAGAAAATATCCACACATTATACAACCAACAAGGAGTTAATATTTAAGACACACACAAAAAAAAACCTCTTTCAATTTAACAACAAAAAAACCCCAAACAACCCAAGCAATAAATGGCAACAGATCTGAAGACAACTCTCCAAAGAGGATAGCCAAAAGGCCAACACATAGGTGAGGAAATATTTAACATTTTTAAAAATGACAATGAGATAGTATTTCACATTCATGAAAATGGCATATATTATAAAAGATGCCCAACAAGTGCTGGAAAGGATGTAGAGGAAAAGGAACTGTTAAGATGGGAAACTGATGCAGTCATTCTGGAAAATGACCTGGAAATACGGTATGACCTAGCAAGCCCACTCCTGGGCATCTATCTGAAGAACATGAAACTATCAACTCAAATAATTACAGGCTCCACGATGTTTATTGCATTATTTCAGTAGCTGGGACTTGGAAACAACCTTAGTGCCTACTAATAAAAGAATTGGATAAAGATTTACTATTATCCACATAATGCAATACTTGTCAGCCATAAGGAAAGATGAACAGTTACCATTTACAGCAAAACAGAAGGAGTTCGGGGGAATCATATGTAGTAAAGCAAGTCAGAAAGATAACAAACAAACAAAAAAGACATTTTCATATGTGTGAATAAAACATGGATGAATTGACAAAGCAAAATAATTATAAGCTTAGACATTCATAATCACAGTGATGTTTCTGAAGTAACAAGGGAGACCGCCAAAATGGTCAAAAGGGTATCAAGGGATGGTGGTGGTGGTGGGAGGAAGCCTGTGGAGCACAGTGAAAAAGAAGTTACGTAGTAGCTATTATATCTGGTTTAGTATCATTTTCACATATAATATATTAACTAGCACGCTTTTGGTGTTAACAGAAACAAACTTAAGATAATAAACATAAAAAACCCCAACAACCCAAAAGTACAAATTAGCTGTGTTCTGACCCCAACCCCACTTACTTCTACCCACCTCAAAAGTAAACCAGAGGATTCTTTCCCCAGACATTTAAAACGTATGGATGATGGGGGTGGAGTTTCACAGAAATTCTATAAATAAGGCGGGTGGGGGGGGAGGGGGAGGGAAGAAGAAGGCGATCCCACCTATTTAAAGTGGAAAGTGAAAAGAAACGAGTGCCGAGGACCCAGTAGCAGTGCAGAGCGTTAGTCACAGCCCCGGGTCTTCCAGGCCAGCCTTCCCGGTAAGAGTCAAAAGAAGACCTGGTTCTTGGACCAGATTAGGGGAGGGGCACGAATTCCCCAGCGAGCAGCAGCACCCACCGCCTTCCTCTGGAGCAGCAGCTGCAGCATCGGAATGGCATAAGCTGCCGTCTTCCCGGAACCCGTGCGGGCCCGCGCCAGGAGGTCCTTCCCCTCCAGGGCCAGCGGGATGGCTTTCTCCTGAATCAGCGTGGGGCGCTGCCAGCCCAGGTCGGCGACGGCCTAGGGAAGACAAGGCGGGCTCAGGCGGCGCCCTGCCCACCCCGCCCCCGTCCCCGACGAGCCTGCCCTCCAAGGGGTCCATGGGCCGGGCTGCTCGGCCCAGCGGGTACCTGCAGGAGCCGGGGGTCGAGCCCCATGTCTTGGAATCCCAGCACGTCAGGGTCCGCCATGCCGCCGCCGCTCCGCCGGGCCACCAGGCGCGCGAGACAGGAAGTGCGCCACAACGTGCCGGCGGGTCAGAGCAGCAGCCAATCGGCGTCGGGGGAGCTGTGCTTCCCGGAAGTGCAGGAGCCTGGGCTTCCTGTCTTCTGAAGGCGGCGCGACTGCTGGAGTTCTGTGGGCGGGCGGCGGGGCGGCTGCGTGGAGGTTGCCCGGGACCCTGGTGCCTTTCGCAGTCTCCCGGCCGCTTGGGTGCCCATACCCCGCCCTGTGGTTCTGCACTGACCACCCGGAATTGCGGGCAGTGCAGGGATAGCGTGATTGGCGACAGCTGAATTAAGTGGAGGCGGGGTGTGGCCCCCCCATCCTGACTGATGGATTGCCCGAAATTTAGGGCTTAACTTTCACGTAGCTCTCCTTTCAGTAGTAGCCTTGGCCTCACAATATGCTCACACTAAGTACACTCAGATTCACAACTGTAAACATGTAAAATTTTGTGGGGATACCCACCCCTCTTGCAGGTAGGAGAGCGAAGTCATTCTCATGACTTAGAAGTGACAACAGGCTCCATCATATAGTCTATGCAGGAATTCTTTTCCAATCTTTTCACACCAACAGGTGACCAAGGAGCCAGATAAAAAAGATAAGAAAACTTGGGCCTCCCCGGTGGCGCAGCGGTTGAGCGCTGGGTTGCGAAGCTGCCCGCGGCCTCTGGGGCGCCAGTTCGATCCCCGGCGTTCGATCCCCAGCTGCTCCCCGGCCACCGGAGGAGGGTCCCACATGGCGCGCAGACCTCTCCTGCCGCCCGCTGCTGGCTCTGGTGAATTCTCTCACCCTCCCGCGCTTCTGACTGTACCCCAGTGCATGTATAAACAAACAAACAAATTAAATAAATAAATAAATAAATAAATAAATAAAAACAAACATGCCCCTATTAAAAGAAACAAAACTTTATTAAAAAAATAAATAAATAAGAAAACTTAACTGGATACCCAGCCTTTGTTTCTCTACAGTGCATGCTGAAATTAAACCCTGCATTGCCTTCCTCTAGCATCAGGCTGTGTTTAAGTTTTAGAGGACAAAATAGAACAAGTGCCTCTCCTATCAAAAATTGATTGTGGGCCTCCCTGGTGGCGCAAGGGGTTAAGCACAGCACTGTGAAGCTATCCACAGCCTCTGCACACAAGTTCGATCCCCAGCCTGCCAGGAAGCTACCCACATGGCAGCGCAGGCCTCTCCTGTCTCCCCCACCACTCCGCTCGGCAGTGTGTTTCAGTCAGTCTGCCTGTTCTGTTCCCTATGTCTCCAGTAAATCCTCACACCCCCTTGCACCTCTGGCCTGTACCCCAGTTCTTGTATGCATAAATATTTTTTAAAAATTAAGGTAGACTCATTTTCTACCTGTATAAATTCAAATTTGTGTTCATTGGAACAACTCTTAGAGTAATGTCTGTCAGACTGCTTCCCAGTATGAATCCTAACTTTGATTATCTAATAAACCCTAATAATGATCACTGAGACTATTTCCAGTTACAAAACACATGAATGTTTGGATATTCGTCTGTGGCTCCCTAAAAACAGATTCTGTCCGGGTGCATCTTGTACCCCCTGCCTTGTGCAGTGAAGTCTACTGTGTGCAGTACTGCCTTGACCGCCACCCACCACAAGCAATACGGTGCACTGGTAATTTCCTTCAGGAACAGCCATGCAGGCAGCACAGTGAAAACAGGTAAAACAAACTAGCAAGAGTAACAAATGACACTGGGTGTACCTGAATATTGCAGAGGTCAGTGAGGAGGGTTTGTTACCATCAAGGTCATAGGCATTGCAAAGGCCAGGCTACAACAATTGAAATGTATAAGGAGGAGGGGTGGAAGAATAAGTAGCAAGAAGGAGGAAGGTAGTTAGTCTGAGGTTCCCAAACCTGGCTTACCATCAGTTACTGCAGTTTGGTTTAAATAAGGATTCTTGGTCTCCACCCATGTTAGCTTCCTACTGCTGCTGTAAACTTAGTGGTGCAAAATGCAAATTTGTTACCTTACAGTTCTGTAGAGTAGAAATACAACACAGGTCTCACTTTTGGAGACCAAATGGACAGTTTCTTGCCTTTCCAGTTTGACTCATGGCTGCTTCTTCCAACTTCAATGCAGAAGGTGAGTTGAGTTCTCATCTCTCTTTTCTGACAGCTTCTTTGCCTCTCTAGTCCACTTTTATTACTCTGGGACAGTCTCCCTATTTTAAAATCATCTAATTAGCAAGATTAATTCCCTTTTTCTATGTTAGGTAACATTCACAGGCTCCAGGGATTAGGACCTGGATCTTGTGGGGCTGGAGGGGGAAGCATTATTCTGTCTGCCATACCACACAGACTGAACCTGAATGCTGCCCAGGAATCTATGTTGAGGATTTGCCCAGATCATCCTGTACATCCACTGATGTGGGCCCAGTTCACACACTATGGTAAAGTGAGATGGGAGCTAAAAAATGAAGACTGGGTACCCAGTGAGAGTTGGGGGAGTAGGTCAGATGATTATAGGGGATAAATAAAATAGTCCCTCCTGCCCCTGGCTTTATTTATTTATTTTTGGGGGGGTCTGTGGTAAGGTAGTAGAAGACGTTTTGGTAAGGATGTTATAAAGTGTAGAAAAGCAGATTTCAGAATGGAATTGGGTGGTACTTGGGAAAAGTCACCAAGAGTATCCTGGATACAGCTAAAATGTTTTAACTTTCTTTTATGTCTATGAAAACTACACACCTGTATGGAAATCCTTGTTTTCCCACAGTCACCAGTTGTCAGCCCATCACGTACCCGTCCCTACCACAACACCGTCAGTATAAAGGTGTACTGCATCCCCACATTAGCCTGCATTCCACCCCTTCCTATCAAATTTCACAAGAAATCTATGCATATAACCTATTAGCATAATCAGAATGCACTTGATTATCTACTAAACATACCTGGTAAGGCCAGCTCCAGCTCCTATCTGTAGTGTCCCTTTCTCCCACAGCCCAGGCTCCGGTCTCTGCTTTGCTGACCAGATTTCTAGTGATAGCCATGGAGCAGAAATGTGTCCCCTTCCTGACATGTCCCATACTCCCCAAGTCCAGAGGGCCACATAGCAAACTAGTTCCAAACTAGTTCTGATATTGTGTTAATTCTAACATGAAAAAAATTAGGAACTTTCAAAATCTGAAATCTTACCTCACCAGACTGTTATACAGCCATTCAGAATAAGAAATGAGGAGTATGTAAGTTTTAAATGCTTACAAAAATATTAAACAACCAAGCTTATGAAACTAAATTAACGTATTTTTAAAACAAAAATGGATATATATTGAATGGAATAGGACATGAAGAGGAAAACAAGAAGGGAAAAATTTAGTTCTGTAAGTCAGATAAGTAGGAAAAAAGGTATTTTAAATAAAAGTAAAACCGTGAAACAAAATGTCAAGAATGGGCAAGTAGTCCTATTAAGCTATACAAAGCAGAAAGGCAGGAGGGAAGTGTAGTAAAATCTGCTTGAATTTATGATTCTGGGGGTCAGAGAAACAGGTATTTAATCTCCTCACAATTCCTTGCTGATGGGTCTACTTCATCAGCCTCTAAATGACTGCACAACCATCCTGCTTGTCCCCACACACAAGAGAATGTCAGGACAAGTCCTAGTAACACAAGCCCAAACAGTACAATCTACTCTGGGTCAGCCAGAGGCAGCTAGGCCAGGAGCCTTTCTCCTGTTTCTCTTTGTGCCTCACCTCTACCCACAACCTCTTACTTTATTTCAAACACAGTTACTACAACATGTTTTATTTCACTGGAAAAAAAATCTGTATAAAGAACCAAATCTGGTTCCCATGGAGAAAACGTTTACCACAGCTTAAATAAGGGTTAAGGGACGAGGGAAGGTAAGGGTGCTGTCTCGTGTTGTTACTACCTCACTCTTACTCTGAGGCCCTGTGTGATGGAAATCACAGATGTTCCAGAAAATTCTCGGCTCAGCCCTCTGATGAAGCCTTGAGAGCAGAGGTGATGTCCACTTTCTGGGCAACAGCCCACTGAAATCCTGAGAGCTGCCATTGTAGTGACCAAAAATGTGTGGACTGCATTTGTATTTTCAACTAGTCATATACAGGCAGTAACACTTCAACTAGGAAGGAAAATATATAATTTATCCAAAAATAGTTCTAATATATAGAAAAACATTTCAATCCTCTGGGGCCAAGACCTGCCCCTTATTTACATTCACAAAGTCACTGAGTAAACCCAGGACTGGCAGGGGAACAAAGAGAGGAGTCTCAGTGAATTATTTTAGCCCCCAACTGCATAAGCAGATCCAAAGAGGTGAAAGGAACCGGAGAGAATTTTCATTTGCTCATTTTGTGATAGGATGAAGGCAAAAGTTGTAAGACTTATTCAAGGTCAGTTCCAACTCTTCACAAACCCCAGGACTGACCTCTGAAAGTTTGGATCAACGTCCTATGTCCTTGAGAACCAGTGTGAACAAGCGACTGATCTGAATGTTTTGTTGCCATGGAACCAATGAGGCCTAAATTTTTTTCTCATTTTTCTCCCCTTGAAATCCAGATGGCTAGAGTATTGGGTGGGAAAAGTACCAAACAACTGAGGTGAAAAGGAAGGGTCACACAGAGAGGACACTACACCAGCTTCTTGGCCTCAAAGAAGCTCTTGAGGTGACGCATCTGCCAGATGCCAGTGACGATGAGGATGACAGTCTGAGCAATGGACCACCACAGGACCCTCTGGTTGGTACTCTCGCTGGTCAGACGGAAGCGCTCTTCACGATACTGCGTGAGACAATGGACCCAGGATTAAATGGCCCCTGGCTGGTATAAGGCCCCTCCCTCTTATGTAACTATGGAAACAAATGCCTTCTGGAATACTGCCTCAGCTACCATTAGGAGTGCCTTAAGGAAGTGATGTCCTATCTTTCCACAAGCATCTCTGCTAGGATAGAAATCATGCTCCTACCATTTCAAGCAAGATCCCAAGTAAAGCGGGCAACAGCTAGTTCTAGACTGTGAACTGTCCTCTGTTCACTTTGTTCTATGGAGCTTAAAAGCATCCACCTAGACTGAAACTCTCCATTCCATTCACTGAACAGCTCATCTCCCAAGTTGGGAAAGTCCCAAGCAGAACTTCCAGCAGGTGTAGTGAGTTTAATAGTCAACTGCCATCCCAAGTACAGGGAGATGCTCTTACCCTTTGGTAATCCTGCTCCTTCTGGATCTGTTCCACCTGATCAAGCAACTGGCGGGCTCGGAGTTGCAGTTCTGTCAGTTTATCCTTAGCAGCAATCTCAGGATAGTTGTTGGCATGTTCCCCAACCTGGATGTCTAGGTGAACACGCTAGAAGGAAATGTGGTTGAGGCCAAGAGCCACAGGTCAGAAACACTGTGACATTATGGTGTCTGGGTAGTGAAGCACCTTGACCATTTGAGGCCATGCAACCCACTCTTGTCCCTGGGCTGTGGGGCAGAAGGGCAACATCTGTCCTCCAAATGCAACTATACCACAAAGTGTCACAAATGAGCTCAGTCATAAATCAAAACTTTGGAACCAAGCAAGAGATTCCAAGTTGTGGCCAAAAAGAAAACTATCTCACCAATCTGCCACCAGCAAAGAGAGCCATCCTGGTAGAGTTGGAGTGCAGGCATATCTGATGGTCACCAGGAGTGTGCGAAGTGAAGGTGAAGCGACCCTCGGAGCCATACTGCCGGGACAGCACCACCTGCAACACAGCGGTCAGTGAAAGGTCACACCTCTACTCTGACCTCTTCCAGGTTCGAGCTCACATCCTCTGAGCTGTATGGAAGGGCAGTTGAAGCAGTTTGCAAGTCACCTGTGCCATAGTCTGAGGCAGCTCAGACTACCATTAGGAGCCTACCTTGCCTTCGGGGTCTTTCACCTCCACGTGCATGCCCAAACCAGGGGTCGAGGGCAGGAAGACTTCCTTCTGCTTATCCCACATCTGGGTGCGGTAGTTCCCTGTGAAGCATACAAAATCCTCACAACCCGCCTTATCCGCACGGCCCACAAGCCCAGAAGCGCACCACTGCCGGGGGCTCCGGCCGTGGCTCAGTCGTCGCGGTCCGGCGGGCTGGGGAACACGGGTGCGTCATGGAACACACAGGGCCCTCTCCACCCTCGCGCCCTCCTGACCGATGACCATGGTCTCGTCGGGGATTTCCTCAATGAAGCAGCGCTTCTCAGTCTCGCCAATGTGGAAGTAGAGGCCCCGGGCTCCCGTCACGCAAAGTACGATCAACACCAGCACCTGCTGCCCCATAACCTGCAGCCGACTCTCCCAGACACCTGCCATGGCGCGCCCCCGTCGAGCGCGCCTGCGCCGGCCTCCCGGGCCACGCAGCAGGCGGAGCTGAAAGTGCGCATGTGCGGAAACGCCCGCCAGCGTCCTTAACGTCCTCAGGCAAGGCCGCACGCCTGCGGAGTGTGCGCGTGCGCAGAGGTGCTCCTCTCTCCCTTGGCCTTTACCTCCGGGGAACGCTTATTGTTCGTCTGCCCCGCGCTGGCAATCTGGAAACGTGGACCCGCAGGGTGGAGGGTGTGTCGCGCTACCCCCTCAGGGGCTCTGATAGGGCTCTGATAGGGCTCGAGTGCGGTGTGACGTTAGGGCCGCCGTCGCTGCACGTGACCGTTACTTTTGACTTCCTATCCTAGCAGAAGAGCAGGTGGGGTCGGGTGACATGCCGGGGCGGCGGGTGGACATCAGGAACCAGCCCCAGCAGTTTTGTTTTTGATGATACCGTAATTTCAGATTTTCAGGTCTAGTCTCCCAGCCAGGAACAGATCCCAGGCTGCAGCAGCCGCGCTGAGTCCCAGCTGGACCACCGAGGGTTGGTGTCTCAGGAAGACTCAGCAGGAACTTCGCTGCCGCTCAGATAAGCAAGAAAAGGCTAATTTGTTTGGAGAAAGAAAAGGTTTATCGAGGAGAAAAGGAACAGAAATAAAGTGGGACTCCCAGGCGGGTGGCCAGGAAGGGGCAAGGAAGCCGAATGGGCCTGTGTCTAGGGCATATTTAAACCTTTTTCCCTCTATTCTAAAATCTCTTCATCCTCTTTGTGATTGGCTCTGTCTGGCTGTGCTTCCCTGGGCAGCTCTGTCCAGTTTTACAGCTCTTACAGTCTTTCTTTCACTGCCCCTGTCCAAGCGCTTAAAATTTACCATCCTTATTAGCCTTAAAATTTACTGCCCTCATTAGCCCTCCTGGATTTCTTTGTCCTTATCTCAGAAGCTTTTTTTAACTTTCCCAAAGTTCTTGCCTGCACTGTCCCTGAAGCTGCCTAATTAACCCTAACTTGCCCTAGGACTCATTGACACCATTTACAAATTGAAGCAACTGGACCCTTTGACCAATATAATTCCCCACTTTCTGGATTTGACTATCTTCATGTCATTTAATATTTCTGTCTCTTGTCTTATGTAGATGAGTAGGGAGGATTTACAGTAAATCAAAATGTGTTTCAATCCATCATAATAATTCTTAATGTTCAGTTTCCTAAAACATTTCTCATTTGTCCTTTTGACACACACTAGTAGCTTTACAGGCTTCCTTTTTCTGTTTTGTGCATTTCCTTCCCTACACACAAAATAAGTCAGTTATCTAAGAAGAAATTCTGAGATTCACTTTACTTGGAAATGGTATTTTAATTTTGTATTTTTTCCATAATAGAGTGCCATGAAATTTGTCCTAATTTATGGTTAATCTTAAAGAGACTGCATTCACTGCTAGAGAAAACTTACCTTAGGTAATGTAATTGCCCAAGTCCCAAAACTTTTCCTCTCAAAGATGGTGGGGTAATTTTTGCCATTGTCTAAATTGAGTACCCCTTCTTTCAACCAAAATAAACAAGTAAATATATGGCACATAAAATGGAGATGTGTCGAGAAATATAAGGCCAGGAAAAGGATGGGAGAGTAGTGGGTTAAAAGGTAACCCACAAAATGACATGTAGTGTTCAAGAATTTATGAATGTGACCTTACTTGGAAAAGTGTCTTTGCAGATGTAATCAAGGATCCCGAGATGAGATAATCCTGGATTATCCCTGTGGGTCCTAAATCCAATTATATCTTTTTATTCTTTGTTATGGGTTTTTTTTTTTTTTGAGTGGACAATGTACTTTATTGATGGTATCTGACAAGTTAGAGCTCCCTAAGCCCCTCCCCTTCTCCAAGGGGTCTGGGATGGAACTCTGGTGAGTTCAGAAGATTCTCAGCATGCTGAGTGAACAGCAGCTGAGGGCATCACTCTTCCTCTTGTTCTCTCACTGAGGCTGGTGGTCCATGGGGCTTTACCTTCTTGGAGGTCATGTAAACTATAGGCTCACCATCCTGTTGCTATAGCCACAAGCTTGACAATGTGGTCATTGAGGGCAGTGCCAGCCCTAGGATTGTAGATAGAGGAGTGGGGGTCAATGTTGCAGGAGACAATCTAGTTCTTGGGGTATTCCAGGATGCCCTGAGGGGCCCTGTGATGCTTGCTTCACCATCTTGACATCTTTGTATTTGACAGCTTTCTCCAGGCAACAGGTCAGACTCACAATGAACACACTGGGTTGGGGACAAAAAGGTCATGACATTGAGCTTCCCACAAGGGATGACCTTGCCCACAGCCTTGGTAGCAGCAGCAGAAGAGTGTCATGGCAGCCCCATGTGGCCATCCCAGAGGAGCCATCCATGGTCTTTTGGGTGGCCATGATGGTATGGACTGTGATCATGAGTCCCTTCACAATGCCAAAGTTGTCATGAATGACCTTGGCCAGTAGGGCCAAGTGGTTGGTAGTGCAGTGGGCATTACGGACAATCTTGAGGGAGTTGTCATATTTTTCATGGTTCACGCCCCTCACACAAGGGGCATCAGCAAAGAGGGCAGACATGATGACCCTTTTTACCCTACTCTTCGAGTGAGCCCTTGTCTTCTCCAGGGTAGTGAAGACAATGTTGGACTACACAACCTATTTAGAACCAGCATCATCCCATTTGATGTTGGTGGGATCTCGCTCCTTGAAGATGGAGATGGGCTTTCCATTGATAACAAGCTTCCCATTTTCACCCTTGCCAAGGGTGAACATTAGACCATGTACTGAGGTCAATGAAGGGACCATTGATGGCAATAATATCCACTTTGCTTGAGTTAAAAACAGCCCTGTTGACCAGGTGCTCAATCTGGCAAGTCCGTTCACTCCAACCTTTACCATGGTGTCTCAGAGACACGGCTTGAACTGCATGCGAAAGTGGCTGTCTGTTGAACTGGGAGAGCCTAACAGTGGCTTTTTAAGACCCCTTATACCCATTAGGATAGCTACTTGGAGGTCATCAGAAAATAACAAATGTTGGTGAGCCTGTGGAGAAATTGGAACCCTGTGAACTGTTGGTGGGATTGCAAAATGATGCAGCAACTATGGAAAATATTGGGTTGTCAGAAAAGTCATGATGCCTTTTTGCTGCAGATGGCACTAGAAACTACGTCATGATTTTTCCGACAACCCAATAGTATGGAAGATCCTCAAAAAACTAAGTACAGAATTACCTTATGACCCAGCAGTTCCACTTCTGAGTCGATTTCTAAAAGAATTGAAAGCAGGGTCTTCAAAAGATATCTGCACACCCATGTTCACAGCAGCACCATTTGCAATAACCAACCCAAGTCTCATGTACAAATGAATACGTAAGGGATAAACAAAATACACATAGTCTTGATTATCCAGCCTTAAAAAGAAATGCCCAACATATGTTACAACATGAATGAACTTTGAGGACATTATACAGGGTAAAATAAGCTAGTCATGAAGGGACAAATATATGATTCCACTTACATGAAGTTCTTAGAGTGGTCAAAACCAGAGAGACAAAGTAGAATGGTGGGTGCTGGGGACTGGAGGAGGAGAGAATGGGGAGTTCTTGAATGAGTGCAGAGTTTCAGATTTGCAAGATGAAAAAGTTGTGATTTGTTTCACAAATCTGAGACTGTACCTAATGCCCCTGAACTGTACATGCACACAGAAATATGTGCATGTATGAAGGCACACACTGGCATGGTACAGTCATAAGTCAAGGAATGCTTGGAGCCACCAGAAACTGAGAGACAAACAATAAAATCTCTCCCAGAGTCTCTGCAGGTAGTATAACCCAGCTGACACCTTGATTTCAAACATCTGCTCTCTAGAATTGCAAGAGAATAAATCTGCTGTATTAATCTACCACAAGGTATTTTATGGCAATCACAGGAAACTGTGATAGGAAGTGTCTGGCTAGCGGTAGCATCGAGAAAAAATTTAGAGAGGAAAGGAAGGCCCACTTAGAAAGTCCTATATGAGAAGATGCAATATATATACACAACAGAATACTACTCAACAATCAAAAAAGATAAAGTCATGCCATTCATGGAACATGGGTGGAGCTGGAAGGGACTATGCTGAGCAAAATGTCAGAAGGAAAGAGATAAATATCCAATATGGAATACAGAGAAACCAAATAAAGGGTCATGAAAAAGACAAAGCTTGCAAGATAACCATAGATCTGAGGCATCCAGACAGGGAGGGACAGATGAGGGGTTAAAACAGAGGAGGAGGACCTCCCCGGTGGTGCAGGGGTTAAAGCAGGGCTATCAAGCTATTGCTAGCCACCTCAGTACGAGTTTGATCCCCAGCTAGCCAGGGAGCAACCCATATGGTATAGCAGACCTCACCTGACTGGTCCACTGCTCCCCCAGCAGTATATTTCAGTAGATCTGCCTGTTGTGTTCCCCACTCTGTCTCTGGTGAATCCTCTCACCCCCTGCACCTCTGGCTTATACCCCAGTTCTTGTATGCATAAATAAATCTTTAAAAAAAGGAGGAGGGAAGAGCACAATGAGCTATGGTGGTGGTTCATGGGTGCTATGGGGGTGGGAGAACTATAGGGACCACACCGGAGGGGAGAAATCAAATACTGAACAAAAATGAACAATGATGCAAGAAAATAAATATAATTACCAAAAAAAAGTCCTATGTGAGAGAGGCCCTAACAGGCAGATCGCTTGGACATTTGAGGATAGAGTGAAAGCCCCAAGGATGGCATATGGCTCGTGAATTAAGGAAAGGAAGGAGGCTAATGTGGTATAAGAGAGACAGGAGCAAATGGAGAAAAGGGTTGAAAAGGGGAAAGGAGCAAATGATGTCATCGATGGCAGCAGGGATGGGGATTAAGTTAACCTTTAGACCACTGACAAACGAGTAAGAACATTTTTGGGGGTGGAGTTGAGTAATGAGTGATTAATATGACTTAGATTTTATTTTTTTTATTTTTTTTTTTAAGATTTATTTTATTTATTTATACAAGCACTGGGTACAGTCAGAAGCGCGGG